CTACTGACCTGGCAGGATTCTCCCTCCTTCCCCGATTCTACCCATTGGTCCTAGTCCTATACCCACTGGGGCCAAGCAAAATGAATTTAATCCCCCTTCTTCATGACAGCCCTTCAGACATTTGAGGAAAGTGATCATGACCTACCCCCCGCCCACCCAGAGCATTCTCAAAATTATACATGCTCAAATCACTTCTGCGTGGCTCGCATTCCAAGCCCTTCAATGTCCTGAATGCCAATGCCACACCCAGGACTGAAAACTCTGGCAGAGTCTACGGCAGAACACAGAGGGCAGAGGAGCTGCCTATGACCTGCGCCGTGCGTGTCAACACAGCTGAACCAGTTCCCAATCTCTCTGTGCTGGAAGTTCTCAAGTGTATACTTAAGGAAAACATACAGATCTGTGGTGTGTGTGTGTGTGTTTCACAGGTAAGCGGTACATGCATTTGGGTGCACACTTCCCCTTCTCCCTCCCACCTCCCCTCCCTCTCTCCTGCTAGAAAAGATCCTTGTCAATGGCTTCAATCTGTCATGCATATTATGAGAATTAAACGACTCTACACATGAAGCCTTAGAATGGTGGCTGCCCCATGCGAGCATTAAATGAACGCTGGTTATTATTACATTACCCTCGCGTGCGTCAGTCCAGCCCATTTACCAAGGACTGTGTGATAGGTTCTGGGAATACACATAATGTATAAAACATGGCCCTTACCCTTAGAGCAATAAGCGCCTTGGAAGAAAAGAACTTTTAAGTAACAGGTCAGGTACTGTATTAGAATCAGGCACACGGTGTGGTGCGCATAATGCAAAGGAAGGAGGTCAAGTTCATATGGGTTGCAGAGAGTCAGAAGGGCAAGGATACGTCGGGGAAATATTTCTGGAGGATAGGACACCTGAGCATAGAATTTTCAAAGAATAAACTGGGATTAGCCAGAGCATGAAGGGGAAAGCTTATTCTTAGCAGCGAAGACATGTAGGCAAAGATGATGATGCTGAGGGCATTTGGAGACGGGCGGAGCTTGACAGGCTTCTATGCATCTGGCTTTAGGATATAGATGCGTTATAAGATGTTCGATGTTCAGTTTACAGGGAGTTATCACGCCATCAAACCGAATGCCTGTCAGTTCACATCTGAGAAATACCAGGCATGAGACAGCAACCCGTAGACACCTAAGCTCCACCATGTCTGAGCTGAAGGAACCTGGACACACAGCTTATCACCCGGCACTGTCCTGTCCTCACTGAGAAATGGGTGCAATGATACTTAGCAGAAAGGCAGGGAAGGCGGCTTCCTTCCAGTAACTGGTTAGGACGCTGCTGCCACTCCTGCTGCTGATTTCCATATTTAACGTGATATTTAAGGAAGATGTTGGCCAAAAAAAACATGTAAGTATTCCACAGCCATGTTGTTCACAAAAAGAAAGTGAAAGATGTTTATCATGGAAAAGCAGTCACTGGCTGCTGGGCACGAGGGTGAGGGGTAGGGGTAGGAGGAAGGGGATGGGGAGGACTGCCTGCTATTTTCCGCTGCCTTCGAGGCCCGCCTCCTTTGAGGGACGGTCTGGCTAAATCTCCCTGCTTCTCCTACCAGAATTTTTTGTAAATACAGCAACTTTTAGCTGGAAAAAAAAAAGTCTTACTTTATTTTATACATCTGCCACATCCCAAACAGTTTTATCAGATGATTGATTATGTTGTAGAACACCCTCCTCTGTTTGCTTCTGTGGCTCATCTGACTTAAAGAAATTAGCCCGTGTGGCTGCATTCTCCCCCTTGCACTGACGTAAGCAAACCTATAGAAGACAGCACTTCAGCCTGTAAGTACGCAGTAAATTTTGCCTCTTTTGATAAACATTTCTTAGTCAATCAAGAATCGCTTGTGCTAAAGACTAAATGATGACTGTATGTCACATGGCGGAGAGCTGTTAACGCAATTTGGGCGAGCTAATGCATTCTGATTTTACTCCATTTTTTCTTCAGATTCTATACCAGAATCTTTCTTCAGGATCTGACAAAACACATGAGCTTTCCTTCCCTTCTCTTCTGTTCTGATACCCTCTTCCAGAATTCCTTCTTCAAACCTCCTCACTGGCAGGGAAGGGTGGCATGTATTTATTAAACACCTACTATATGCTTGTACACTTGAGATACAGTGATGAGGTATCAACAATTATTGGTCTCTAGATTTCTCTTGCAGAGACACGGGTGAGACTGAGAAGCATATGGGATAATATACACCGTGATGAGATGAAATTATGAACAAGACTGTCTGTGGGAAGGGGAAGGTCAGGGGACAGATTTTGAAGAAGTTTGACCCTTCGTTCTGAAAATGATAATGAGGAGTAGTTGGGAGGAGAAAGATGAGCAGAGGAAGAAGAACATTTACTGACTGTTTATTATATTCTGGGCACTGTGACCTGCCTGCCACCTTTCTAACTTACAATAATTTTCTCAAGTAGCACAGATGACGTTACCATTTTACAGATGTGGGAACTGAGGCTCACAGCACTAAAGGGTTTGCCCACAGCGAGTGAGGGCCACAACCAGAACTGCAACTTGAGCAGCTCAATCTCCAAGCCCATTCTCTGTGCCATGGAGTTCTGCTCCCTCCCCCGACAGGAGTCAAGGAGAAAATGGGGATGATCTACAGAGTGGACCTGGTAGGTAGGAATGAGAACAGCAACAAATTGATGACAAATGGTCCTCAACAGCAAACCTAGGGGACCTGGCTGACCTTTGCCCTGAACTCTGCAGGGGCCGTCACCACCACCCCATGTCCTGTTTCACTGTGCCTCAGGATAGGACCCCGACTGGCAAAGGATCGATATAAATGACGTGGTTTTGGAAAAGTGCGCCTGCAGTGATAGAAATCCATCATCAGGGCCTTTAGAGGGAATGGGAACATAGAACTCCTCGTTTTAGACAAGAAGAAGTGGCTCAGGGGGAGGCGAGTATTTGTCCCACGTCAGAATCCAGAACCCAGGTCTCTTGCTCAGAGTTCAGTGATTACTGTTTTGAATTAATTAGACACGAGACTGCCTTCCAGACCCACGCGGTATTTGTGAACACAGAAGAGCAAAGCAGCCAGGTTCTCAAACTGGCTCAAAATAAACCTGCAGGTTGGGGAACTCCAGCCCCCACACCTGCTCATCTCCATGTGTGTCCTAGGTCATAGTAAGCACCCACATCCACCCCTTTGCTGGAGCTCTTGACAGGGGAATGATCCTTGACATCTTTCTCTCTCTCTCGCCTGGCAGCACGAATGTCACATAAAATCCTGCTTATGTTTCCAAAACACACCTGGAACGCGCCTTTGCCCTTTGCTGCCAATGCCTTCGTCCAAGGCAGCAGCCTGTCTCTCGGTCTTCACGCATCCATCCTGCCCTCATTCGCTCACGGCCGTAATGCATTGTCAACAAACACAATCACTCCACTCCTCCTTCAAAAAACAAAAAGTCCACACCTGCCCACTGCATTTGAGGTACCACTGAGGATGATTTTCTTGCCCTGCAGCACGAAGCCCTGGGTTATTTGTCTCTGTACTTCCTCCAGCTCAGTGAGCACCAGCCTTCTGGATCTTCGTGAGCTTCTCGAACACTCCAAACCCCGTCTTGCCCCAGTGCCCTTACGGAGTCTGTCCCGTCCGTGGAACATTCTCCCCCAACCCTTATCCTCGATAACTCTCTCGCATATTTTAAATCTCAGCTTAAAAAGACCTTTAATAGGGCTTCCCCTTACCTCTTCTTACCACCTTTCCCTGTAAATTAGCCTCCCAGTTACATTCCCTTGTAGACTCTGAGCAATGAAGTCACATTTAATAATGTAATTAGCAGTAAGCTATTCGAGTCTCCGAGCTTTCCCGACTTCAACCTGTAACATGGGCCTAAGAATACTTACTTACTCTGTAGGATCGTGGTAAGGATTAGAATTAAAGCACTTAACGGGCATTCAATGAAAACATTAAAAGCCTTACTCTGTAATTCTATCCATGTCCACAACATTTTTTCTGTGCAACGAGGAACCAGTCATGGCTCCTGACCGGAACTAAGGCAACTGTCAATCAGAATAGAGAGCCTCTTCCAGAACACGGTTTCCAAGGCCAAAGCTCTGGAGCTACCTGTGTGTAATATTGCATTCGGTTTTGCCCTACCTGCACTCTACGGAAACATCACTATTAGCTCTTAGCCACCACGGAGGCAACTGAACAGGGAGCAGAAACACACAGCCAGGAGACAGAGCACTGAACTGCTCACAGCTGTGTGAATTCATCTATCTTAAGCTGAGGACACCAAAGGAAGATATTTTAGAAAACCTTTCTCCTTTGGGCAGGGAGGACTTCTGCCTTCCCATTCTCAGCATGGAGAGTCAACGTTTCAACGTTTATGAAAACTGGAACACAGAGCTCTCTTAAATCCTGTTGCTCAAAGTGCAGCCTATTTGCAAAGCAAGCCACTGCCAATCCTAACCAGCATCCCCAATGGTTCTCCTGGAGTGCAAACACATTTAAATGTGTCTATTCACAAGTTTAAAAAAGATCGTAAATATATGCACATACGAACATTGAAATGGCCTTCTGGGAAGTGTTTTAATAAGCGAGCCCCTCAGTCCAGACAACAAACAAACCAGAATTAGAAATCAGAAGCACAGCAGCCATTGGGCATACCTGCGATTCATCTTGGGAAACGTGTGTGTTCTAGAAAAGCTGTTTGCGTGCCACAATTTTGTAGATTGGATTACATTTTTAAGAGGATGAGAGAAGGTGTCTACTTTAACTAGCTGTCAGATGGAATCTCTGGAAGGTGAGCAATCATTTTTATGATGTGGATAACTGGCATCATCAAATTCGCTTTGTGAACGAGAGACACTGGACCGTGTTTAGATTCACGCGGATGATCCATCTGCTTTTGATTTTAGGATTCATTCATTCCGTTTGCATTTTTTGTGTATCCACTATTCACGTATGCACTGTACAAATATTTGCTGAGTACTTACCACGTGCCTGGCTCCGTATTAGATGCTCAGGATCCAGGAGCAAACAGGAGAGGTGATGTGCTTTGCTCTTGCTCTCCTGAAACTGGTACCCTAGCGGAGTGAGATGACCAGTAAAAATAGGGAAGTAAAAATACGCAATACAATTTCAAGTAGATATTCAGGGGCGGGCAAAAGTAGGTTAATACTATTCATAAGTAATACAATGATTAATAAAAATAATACAAGAATAAACCGCTTTGCATACTCACAACTGTAAACCCACTTTGCCCACCCCTGTGTGTTTTATTGAACATGAATACAGATGTCTAAAGGGATAGACAGTGATGGGCTACAGAGGACTGCAGTGTGGAACGGGTGCTTCTGCTGATGCGGGGAGAACCAGGGAAGTCCTGGTTAAATAGCAAAATGAGGGAAACGCCTTAATTAAGACTAGGGGCAGGCTGCTTCAGGCAGAGGAAAAAGCCAAGGCAAGGGCTTTGAAGCTGGAGGCACCCTGTGTTGGAACGACAGCAGGAAGGTGAGGGCGGCAGGGAGGCCTGCGTGGGCTAACCGCTCTGTGCACCAGGAGGGGCAGGGAATGCAGGACCCTCAGAATCCAGAGATTCCTGCTCAGCACACAAAGAGAGGGTTTATCCAAAGAGATCAACATTGCTTATGTCTTCTCTATTACACTGTGCTTCCTTTCCTACCTTCGCTGCCTCTAGTGACTTTCCCTCCCTCCCTTCCTTTCACCCTTTCGTCCTTCACCCTTCCACAAACATACATTGTGCACTTATTGCTTTCCAGGTGCTGTGCCTAAGGATCTGATGGATGCCCTGTCTTGGGTGTCACGACAGGCATGCTTCCTTTCCCATGCCCCCACTCAACCCCCATCAGATCAAGACTAGAACGTGTTGTGGGAGCTTCTCCACTGGAAAGCAGGCTGGTGGGGCAACTTGTGAAACAGGCTGGAATCCCAGCTCTACTACTTACCAGCTGAATGATACTGGACAGTGCATACGATTTTCCTGTTGTCCCAGTGTTCTCATCTGCAAAACAGAAATAATAATGCATACCTTGAAGGAATGCGTTGATAATCCCTAGCTTTAGATATAAACTGGTGACTGATGTTGTTACATATTTCTTCTTGCTTTCTTCCTTTCCAACTGGAACCTCACAGTGAAGGAAGGGCATCTCATACCGGTTTAGTGGAGACTGAATTGCCTGCTGGTTCTCTGTCTCCTCTCATGCTCCAGAATATTGTATTCATGATTATGGGGTGTAACCCGCGGGGGCCGACAACCCAAGATGACCCAGAGAACGGAGGTATGATGGACAGAGAGTGGAAAGTGTGCAGAGTGTGTTAGTGGCCCCTGTTCTCTACTCTTCCCTGTATTCACACCTTTTCCCCTGGAACTCTCAAGTATTTTTCACCAGACAAACAAAAAAACCAGATTATCTTTCTCTCCCCCCCTAACTTTCAATCTTGCCAATTGGTGTGCTTTGGCCAACAAAATAAGGTAAGAAGCCTCCAGGTCTAAACCTACACCTCAAGGGGCTGTGCTTTTTCTGCTTAATAGTGTGTGCAGTTAACACTGTCATGAGAATATGCCCAAGAGGGTCCCAGGAAGAGGATGAGGCATACAGGAGGGTGGGCTGAGTTGGCTCCGCCCAGCCCCATGCAGACCAGGCAGCCTCAGCAACCCACAGATATACGAGAGGAAATAATTGTCATTTCAAGCCACTTAGTGCTGGGGTCATTGCTAACCTAATATTATTGTGATGATATGTGACTGATACACTGCCCTTAACTTAATCAGAACATTTATTACTTAAAATGATCAATTAAATATACTTATTGGACTTCTGTGTTTAATACACCAGGTACTGGGGGGACGGATGTACATAAACCAGGTGGGTATCATTGTGCATATTGTTGTCCTTGGGGAACTGGCCGTTTAGGTGAAAGAGAAAGAAAAAGAAATGCTACAGATGGAGTTGAAAAGGGTCTGTTTCAGAGGCAGGATGCAGGGAGTCAGGGCAGGGCTTGAGATGATTGACTGACTGCCCCAAGTGGCGGAAAGGAGAATTGCATCTATGTGATGCTTTCGTTTCAATCAAGAGCAGGACATAAAAGCTCCAGAATTTAGGCCCCAAAAGGATCCTCCCAGAAACTTATCTTAGGTACACTCTCACTTAGAGCGAGGACACCTGAAGCTCAGAGAAAGAAAACAAGTTGTCCCAGGTGACTCAATGGGTTTGCGGCAAGTCTAGGACATGAACCCAGGGCCCTTGCCCCCATTTGACCCCGAACAGGCCTTATGGAGCCTGTATACTTTAAACTGCTATAATATTCCTGACCACAGGTTTTACTACTAACACCAGTTAAGGTAAGATTAATCTCCATCAGTATGATCATTCACAATTGTAACACGACTCCTTTCTTGCTGAGATCATTCAAGGTGTGATAATAACCAGACCTCATAATTAATGATACTAATTAATAAATTTCACTTATTGAGACAGCACTCCAAGCACAGGGCCTATTGCTTTAGGTGTGTGAGCCCGTTTATTCTTTGCACCAGTGCAGGGCACATATAATAACCCCCCTTTTCCAGACCTGGAAACCGAATTTCCTGGAGATAAAGCCTTCGCCCCCAGCCCCACAGCTACTAAGGGGCACTACCAGGAACGGGACCCAGATCAAAGGCCTGTGATCTTCCCACTTTTCTCTCCAGAGCCTGCGGCGGGAAGCTCTATCTCGAATGTCTGGCTAAAAAATGACACCCCCATCCTGTCATTCTCAATGTTCTCCGTATTGTGATACAGCCATCTCCTGGCTTGGATCCTGCCTCTCTTTTTATACCAATTACCAAAGGGGGTCCTTAGAGCCCGGCACTTTGAGAAGGCCTGAGGGAGCCTGGAGCTTCTAAGAGGCAGCAAGGAACTGACTCGGCAGGCTCTGGTGATCTTCAGAGGCTGGGGACAGGCACTTCAAAGGGCTGAGAGCCTGCTACCTTTGATGAAGGAACCGACAGGAAATTATCAGCCCAGTGCCGACAAGGACAACGACAAGAAAAAGCCCATTTTGGCCTCATCTTTGTCTGCATTGGAGCCGGCAGGAAGCAGAAGGGACTGTTTAATCCTGACTCCAGAGCAACCCTGAACCCAGGCTTCCTCCCAGGAAGCAGAAGGTGAAAGAAAGGTGAGGCAAGTTAAGAGAGACACCCAAACTTTTGGCTGCCTGGATGAACTGAATCTTTTCATTGAAGCTGTCAGAGGGTTCTTTTTCCCCTTTTTTAATCTAAACTATAATCACACAATACTCCACCCAAGTGCTTGATATGGATTTCTAAGACAGATCCTAACACAGTCATAAAAAAAAATCCCCTCTGAAATGTGCACTTTGTACTGTGTCGATGTGTAGGTGTGTTTAAAATGTCACGAACTGGAATGCCTAACTCTGGTTCCCAGGAATTAATCAGTTAGAAGACTGAAAGGGGAGAATTAACTTGCTTTAACACTTACAAGACTCTCCAAAAACAGTCATCAAAATAGAAGTTGCTGAATAGAAGTATAGTTATCTTTCCAAAGAAACTAGAACGCTCTCTTTTTTTAAACATTTTTCTCCCTCTAAAACTGCCTTGCAAGAAGTTTTCCCCTCGCGGCTCAGCTACAGGTCACAGGTAACCTGGGAATAAAAGTGGAAAAAGATATTCTTTCTGCCTTTTTTTTTGGTTACTATTCCATAATTTTTACTGTATAGATTTGTACAACCATCACCATTGTAGACAACTTTAGAACATTTTCCTCACCCAACAAATTTCCTACATGGCCACTTGTAATCAATTCCCGTCCATTCCTGTAGCCAGAATCACCGCTGATCTGCTTTCTTTCTCTATAAATGTGCCTTTCCTGGACATTTTAAATAAGTGGAATCACATGATATGTGGTTTTGCACCTGGCTTTTGAACACATTACTTCAAGGTCCGTGCATTCTATCACATGCCTAAGGACTTCTTTTCTTTTCAATGCCGAATACTATTCCAATACATGGATGTACCGCATTCTGTTTGTCCACTCACTAGCTGATAGACATCTGGCTTCTTTCCAGATTTTGGCAATTACAAATAATGTGGCTATGAACATTTAGGTGCGTGTCTTTGTGTGGGTATATGTTTTCAGTGTTCTTGAGTAGAACCTCAGGCTCCAAATGGCTGGGCTGTGCAAAGGAAGACCGACCATTGCTGTTCACCAGGGCGCCTCTGATTCACACGTGCAGTGTCCATGGAAACCTACCAAGCAATAAAAAAAACAAAAACAAAAACCCAACCAACAAAAACAACTGCTGTCATTGGATGAATTCTGAAAAGACGGCCAGAAAGTTAAAGGACAAATTGCAGCCAAGGTCAGATCACACAGGCTCACCCTCGGACCTGCTTCCCGAACGGAATTCATGAAACTTCCTCGTGGGCCATGAGCCAAGTCCTAACCGCCACAGATCGCGCACACCTGTGCGCACGTGTAATTAGAGGGACTTCACATTCCCTTTACGCCCACGTGGAAAAGAAAAGAAAATCAGTAGCCAACCGAGGACAGAAATCCAACTATCTCTGGGGGGGGGGGCTCCCTCCGGTGTCACCTCCTTTCGAGAGGGAGACGGCGGTCACAGCTCCCCAGTACGACCGCTAGGCTCCGTCAGAGTGCGTGTAGAGACCTTTGGCGGTGGCCTTGGACAACTCGAGTTTTAGGGCTTAGAGTAGACAGACAAGGCAGATGAAAAGACAACACCAAAGGGGTAGAGAGAGGCGGCTCGGTGCAGTGAGGGAGGGGTCAGGTCAGGGACCGACCTGCGGGGGTAGAAAGGGCAGGCGCCGCTCCCCACTCACCGCGCTCTCGGGAAAAGGGCACGGCCTCGTCCGCCTCGACAGTCCCTCGCACCCGCGTGTACGGCGGAGGTGCGAGGTACGTGGACCTGGTGCCGGGGGGCCTGTCACCTTGGAGGCCTTTGCTTGGGAGGAGAGAAGCACAGGAGCAAGAGAACTGGGAGGCTGGAAGCGCAGCGCCCCCTCCCCAGCCCCGCAAAGCGCACTTTAAAGACCGCGGCCTCGCGGAGGGTGAGAGGCGCGTCCGCTCGGCGCAGGACGCAGGCTCCGCGGCGCCTCCCCGATCCCGGCGTCGCTGGACGAGCGCTAGCGCGCCGCGGGGGTGGGGTCGGGGCGCGGTGCTGGACTCGGGTAGCCCCGCCCCGGACCCGGTCCCGCGCGCCTCGGCCGCGCCGCGGGCCAACCCGGGAAGCCCTGGGGCACGCGGACTCGCGGGGCGTGGCCCCCAGCCTGAGGCCTGGTCGGACACCTCCTACTTTCCCCGAGCGCAGTCCGAGGCTTTCTCTGCCTTCTTCGCCTTTTCCGTTAACTCCTAGGTTCCTCTCCCTCCTCCGCTGATCCCTCCGCGTCCTCCTAACCGTTTCCCGAGGGCCCGCAACTCCTCCCCCTCCTCCCCCATCCTCATCCCAGACACTCTACCCTCCCGAGATTCCATTTTCGCTTTTACCCCTCGTTTTTCAACCTCCGCCCTCCTTTTTCCCCTCCACCCCACCCTAGAAACTTGTTGTAACCTGGGGTTCCCCACCAGGTCACGGTTGTTGCCCTCCATGACCGCGGAATGTGCCTTCCCAACTCCGCTCCCCTGACATCCAGCGCCCCGCCCAAAACCCGGCGGGATTCTGAAGCCCCGGCCCCGCCAGCCTTTCCTCTCGGCGCCTCCGCCGGGAAACGAAGCGGGCCCGGGGCGCCCCAGCTCCAGAGGGACCTTCTGGAGGGTTAAGGGGAGGGTGGAGGGAGAATACGGGCACGGCAGCCTCAGGCCCGTCTCCGGCAGAACCTCACTCTCCAGCCCTGGCGGGTGTGCAACTGGGGGCCTGAGGCAACAAGTGACTCCACTGGCGGGGGGCCAAGGCACCCTTTTGGGGCGCAGTGGTGACAAGCCCCAGGCCGATCCAGACCAAACCATTCCCCGCACCCAGCTTCGCACGCGAGGCAGTGGAGGCGGAGGGAGCGGAGGAGGAGAATAGAGAACAGAGACGTGGCTCTTCCTAAATCCAAAACCTTCCTCCCCAGGTTTCGCCGCCCGCGCCCCAAGCACAGTTTGCCAGGGATAGGGCACGGAGGCTGAGCGAAAGCAGCCGACGTGGAGGGGTTGACCGAAGGTGGGTGGCACGGTTCCCGGCTGCCTCCGCCACTTGGCCGATGCTTCCCCCCAGCCCACCATCCAGGCCTCCCGGGCAAGAGCCCAGCCTGGCCAGCTGGAGCGGATTTGGGCAAAGGAGGAAAAGGGGCTCCCACCCTCTCCCCAGCTTCCCTCCGCCGCCCTCCCTGATTGGCTGTGCGTCCCTGGAGCCCAACTTCAGTCGCTCCAGACTCTGTCTCAGCCCCAAAAGAGCCGGAGTGCAACGACACCGGGCGGGAGGGGCGGCCACGAATCCCGGGGTTGGCATCTCCGGGGCCCCTAGGGGGAGGGGCGCGGACAGGGTCGGGCCCCCGCAGCCTCCGCTAGGCCCAGCTCACCGCGTCTCACGGCTTCGGCTCCTCTCCGCCCCCCGCCCTTTCCTTTCCTCCCAGCGGCGGCCTCCCTCCTCCTCCGTCCCCCCCACCCCCACCCCGCCCGCCACCTCCCCCTGGTTTCTCATTCCTGCCACTAGCGCGCTCCGCGGCTCATTCCGCGGCCGCCGCCAGCCGAGGGTAGAGTCGCTCGCAGATGCCGCGGGGGCCGCTCGCAGCAGCCGCGGACTTGTGAATGAGACCCGGACTGGGACCCGCGCTGGCACCGCTGCGCTCGCCCAGCGCTAGGGACCGACGGCCCGAGCTCGCGGCCACCCTCCAGGGCCCCAGGTGAGGCGCGCGGCTGTGCCTTTCTCTCGCTTCTTGCCGGAGGGGTGTGTGTGTGTGGGGGGTGCTCTGGACGAGAATGTGCTGGGGATGAGGTTTGACTGGAGAAGGTTTCACTAATGCCAGGGAAAGGGGGGGGGCGGAGATAAGTGAAGATTTGTTTAAAAATAAAAACAGGGAGAAGGAAGCCAGCCGTGGGTGCGGGCAGCGCAGGGGGCGCGGGCGCCAGATGTGCGCTCCAGCCTCTCCCCTGCTCCGGCCTCCTCTGAACTCCTCACCGAGGCCGCGGGAGAGAGGGTTTGCCCCCAGCTGGGGTAAGGAGCTGCAGAGCTGCGCCCGGGACCCGCCGACTGCCCCCGGTCAGGTCCCTGGGGAAAGTCACCCACGGGCAGTGCCCTCCCGCCGGCCCGCCCGCGCTGCGCCTCTTTCCCAAAGCGGCGACGAGACCCTACTCTGCAGGGTTCTTACCCCTTTCCCCGGATCCCCGCTGAACGCTCCCGAAGGCTCGGCCCTCGGTTCTAGACCGCCGGGGAGGCCCCAGAAACCCGGACGAACCCAGCTCGCGCCCGCGACTCCCCCGCACTTTAATAGCTTGGGTCTGGGTCCGCTGACTGCGGCTCCGGCTGCCGACTGCGGCGCGCGCTCTAGCCCTCAAGCCGGAGTCTCTTGGGCAGCTCCGGGGGCCGTTCAGCAGCTCCCGCCAGCCCAACGGGCGGGCTGTGAGCGGTTCACCCTAGGACTCTGGCTTGGGGTTGGCGAATCCTGCCGGGGTCAACGTTAAGTTTGCGAACCAAACCTTCCCCGAAGCCTGCGCCTCCTTCCGGAGCGCCCAAGCCTCTCCAGCCCGCTCGGCCTCCCTCCCTCGGCTTTGTCGGGGAACTGGGGGCCGAAGCTCGCAGTAGCCGGCAGGATGGGCCCGGCGGCTGGGAGAGCACCCCTTCACCCCTCCGCCCGGCGGAGCTGGGGGACAGCCCGCCTCGCGCTATAAAGAGACGCGTCCCCAGGGAAAGTGGGTTCCAGGAGGGCCCTGAGTCGCTTTTCCTTATCCCTTTCTCGCCCAGGCCCTGCTCTTGCCGGGGCATGGGGGGCGCCGCACGCCTCCCTTTCTCGGGTGAAAGGTTTTCTGGATGCTGGAAAAAGCCCTGTTGCTTTTGCTGATAATGCAGCAGGAATTTCACGGGCCATTGCTCTGCTGTTAAGAAATTGCATCTTTTAATTATTTAATAATGCCATCCCTGCTGGATGACGGGGCGTCCCTGAGGGGTGGGGGGCGGAGGGCTGTTCTGAAACCCTGCCGCAGGAGGGAACGTAGACCTGCCTGAAGTCTGCCCTCCCGTTTTTCCCCCCAAGGAAATCTCGTTCGGGTGGCTCTGAAATCTTCCCTTGTTTTCCTTTTCCGATCATTCCTATTGGTTTCAAATGAGGCGGGGAGTAAGTTTTCAGTTTAATCACAGAGAAGCCAGGATAATTAATCCGGCAAGAGGCTGGATCAATTGCTTTATCACTTACTCTTGCAGCAGACGTCGATGGTGTTGCAGGGCGTCTGGATTCTCCGGGGATGGGGATGAGGGCAGTCCCTAGGAGCCAGGACTCGCCAGCATCAGCAGCTGGGCCGGCTCGGTTTTGAGTGCTAGGAAAGGAGAAGAGAATGGGGCTGACCTTCCTTTCATTAATCCCGGGATTATTTTTTTCTACATATACCACAGAGGCATCAGAACCCAGAAGTAGCCACTGCCCAACCCCAGCTGCAGGGAGCCTGGTCTTCCTTCAGTAGAACAAAGGAATAAAAGTTGTGAAACAAAGGGGCAGAGTTGTGGCCGGTACCAGAGGGACCCCAAGCTCCTCCTGGTCATTGAAGTTTGTTAAGGGTGAGATCCCATGCGAAGTTTTAGAGTGGGCCGGTGGGCCGGTGGGCCCTGGAATTCAAACCTCGGAAACCCTGCCCAGTACAAAGGGATGTGAGGAGAGTTCAGGCGCAGGCAGACCCGGGAAAGGCATCTGGGCGTCAGGGAGAGCTGGCCGGCCTGAGCATTACCTTACATCTTGCTTTGGAGACACTGCAAATGAATGCATCAAACGTGTCTGGCAGCCATGCTCTATTATTCGTAATTATTTCTGTTACTATTTACGTTGTTATTTTAGAGCCTGCATAAGCTGGCCATTTTGTGACATTGCTGGAAAAAAGAAATCACCCCGACCCTACCCATCCGGGAGGGAAATGAGAGGCACGAGAAGCACAGATAGGATGATGTGTTGAGGCCCGGCCTTGCAGATTTACTCAAACTGGGCTTCTTGCTGACTAGAAAAAACAGGCTTTTACAACAGTGCGCATGGAAGCAGTGGACCATGTGATAGCACTTCGGAACTTCCCTTCTGCTCAACGTTCTTATCGGAACACCAGACAGTAAAATGACTAGAATCCTAAATTCTATTTTCAATTAAGATGCAATCTTGTGTTTAAAAAAAAAAGTTATGGCTCCTGTTTTTTTCTGCGACCCAGAATTCATATTTGCTCTGTGCGGCCGTGGCTGTGGACATGGACGTTTAACTGTTTATTTGTGCGAGGAGGCGGGACCGGTTGCAGGGTGGGGGGCATGATTTGGGGAAGCACCGACCAGGGCCAGGCTCCTTCAGGGCTCTCGTCCTCATACTTCGTGGGTTTTTTTCCACTTTGACTACCATGGCATGGCTGCTTCGTAAAGATTCTGGTTTGGGGACCCTGGGCCGGGGACGCCGTGACGCAGACCTCGGGGCTGGATTTACATTGCCAGCGCGCGCAGTGTGTCTCCGAACCTCGCCCGTGACCGTCTGTGACTTGTGACGTTGACGGCTGACGTCAGCGTTGGCCTGTGATATTCAGATCTGTTTTCAGAGCCGTCTAAACAGATCCGCAGATCTGAGTTCAGTCTTCCTTTGCTTTCCTCCCAGGGACAGGGGTAGACAAAGGTGGGTTGACGGATGTTCGCCCCAGAAGGAGACATGCGGGTTACGATGGTTAGGGTGTTTTGCATGTTTGTGACTGTCAACCTACTTTTGCCCACCTCTGTATGAGGACGGATGTTCAAGAAGCATAATCATTTTATTTTCAATATTGATTTTCTCACTTTGATCATAGGCATACTTAATAAATAATAATAATAGAAGGACAGTGGCTTGTAGAGTTTGAAAGGAGGTAGCAAACCTTTTTTTTTTTTGGTTGTCAAGTTTGCAGAATGACTGGATCCCTAGGT